TGTTGGTCTTGTAAATGGTGATGGTTCGCCCTTTGTAATAAACGTTGGGCCTGCAAAATAGAAAGAATGAATGAGATGTAAATGATATAATATATATATATAAATAATATATACATTATATAATTATAAGATGAAAATTAGTGTCTACAACTGCCCCTCTTTGTTTTTTTCGTGTAACGAAAAATAGGACAAAGATAAAAGGACACAAATTTTCGTTCGGTAGAATTGACTCTGATATTTCAATTAAGAATAACTCCCTGTCAAATTGAGTTGCGGATGGCTCCTCTGTCGCGAAGTCGAGTCCATCTTGAAATGATAGCCGTAGTTTGGAATTTGAATAAGAAAGTGGTTTTCTTGTTGCCAACTTGTAGTCCACTTCGGTCTTCTTCTCGATTTAAAGACATTGGTTTAAAAATTCGACTGAAAAATAGCTTCTTGACTTCATCATGTAGTTGATAAGCCCTCGAGCTGAATGGAATCGAACTCGAAGGGTCTTTGTTGACAGATAGTTTTTCTCGACTTAAGTTATGCTGTCGGAAAACAGTTTCTTGTCACTGAGGCACGGCTAGCCCATGTCTTTTTCTCGACTTGAAAACCCCGATTACAACCAGACAGTAGTATGATTGAGGTGTCATCGAGTTAAATAGAATTGAACTCGACAATCTTATTGACATATAACCCTTCTTGCCTTGAGTTATGTTGTAAATGATGTGCCTTGGAGCTGAGCGTAGTCGAACTCGAAGGTCTTTTGTTGGCAGATAACCCTTTTCTACTTAAGATATGCTGCAAATAATGTGCCTTGGAGATGAGCGAGTCGAACTCGAAGGTCTTTTGGTGACAGATAACCTTTCTAGCCTTGAGTTATGCTGTAAATGATGTGCCCTCGAAGCTGAGTGTAATCGAACTCGAGGGTCTTTGGCAGATAACCCTTCTCGACTTAAGCTATGCTGCAAATGATGTGCCTTGGAGCTGAGCGTAATCGAACTCGAAGGTCTTTGGTTGGCAGATAACCTTTCTTGACTTAAGTTATGTTGCAAATGATATGCCTTGGAGCTGAGCGTAGTCGAACTTGAAGGTCTTTTGGTGACAGATAACCCTTCTAGCCTTAAGTTATGTTGTAAATGATGTACCCTCGAAGTTGAGTGTAATCGAACTTGAGGGTCTTTGGCAGATAGCCCTTCTCGACTTAAGTTATGCTGCAAATGATGTGCCTTGGAGCTGAGTGTAGTCGAACTCGAAGGTATTTGGTTGCCAGATAACCTTTCTCGACTTAATTTATGCTGCAAATGATATGTCTTGGAGCTGAGCGTAGTCAAACTCGAAGGTCTTTTGGTGACAGATAACCCTTCTAGCCTTGAGTTATGCTGTAAATGATGTGCCCTCGAAGGTGAGTGTAATCGAACTCGAGGGTCTTTGGCAGATAGCCCTTATCGACTTAAGTTATACTGCAAATAATGTGTCTTGGAGCTGAGCGTAGTCGAACTCGAAGGTCTTTGTTGGCAGATAACCCTTCTCGACTTAAGTTATGCTGCAAATGATATGCCTTGGAGCTGAGCGTAGTCGAACTCGAAGGTCTTTTGGTGACAAATAACCCTTCTAGCCTTGAGTTATGCTGTAAATGATGTTCCCTCGAAGCTGAGTGTAATCGAACTCGAGGGTCTTTGGTAGATAACCCTTTTCGACTTAAGCTATGCTGCAAATGATGTGCCTTGGAGCTGAGTGTAGTCGAACTCGAAGGTCTTTGTTGGCAGATAACCCTTCTAGCCTTGAGTTATGCTGCAAATGATGTGCCTTGGAGCTGAGCGTAATCGAACTCGAAGGTCTTTTGGTGACAGATAACCCTTCTAGCCTTGAGTTATGCCGCAAATAGCTTCTTTAAAAAATAGCTTCCCTTCAATGGTCTAAGCCGGTCATGATTCTTCAGGTGGTTCCTTTGAGCGAGTCTGAACCAAATGAGACGATCTTTGAATTACTCCCTTTTACGGAAAAGGCCACTGATAAATTCTGACAGCCGGATATTTTCCGTTGTGGAATTGAAATCTGGTTTGAAGACATTAACTAGAAACATGTTGCTCATTGTTGAGTTGAGCTGAACTGGATTTGTTCTGAGTTGGTTCTTGAACCTATCTAAAATTGATTCTGAGATCTGTAGATATGTCAAGTCGGTTGAGGTGTAGCTCCTCACTTCTGAGTTAAGCAACCACCATCGTTCTTTAAAGGCACTTTCGAATCGAGTATCCTTCATCCTGAAATCAAAACTTAACTCTAAAAGCTGCAAAAAATCATGTATGCTAAGATGATCAATGTGATGCACCTAAGTATATATAAGATGCATGCAACATGGATGAATTATGTGTTATTTCTTGGATGGAGTCTCGTGCTTTGTCTGCTAATCTGGTCTTTGGAATCGATCGTGCCCCGTTCTCTTTTCGAGCTTTGACTTTACAGACCTTTCAAATCTGAGATTGTTCTGTATGAAAATGTTTTTCTCATTTTTCTTGTTTTAGGAGGAAAAAGGATAAAATTGTTGAAAAATATTGTTTTTTTTTCATTCAGCATAACTACTTATAAATGATGAACTACTGCTCGAATAAAAACAATATAGAAGAATTAAACATTGAAATATACAATTCTCGAAACACTGGACTTTATAGCATTCACTTATACTAAAAATCCATTTATGACATAGTTGATGACATAGTTCTTGCAGGATAGAACTTAGATTTGTTTAACGGTGTTCAAAAGTTTCTTGAGCAACATTTTAAACTAAAAATCCCAGGCACTGAAATATTTCCTTGGTTTTGAGATTGCTCGCAATGCTACTGGAATTTCTTTGTCCCAAAGACATTATGCTTTGCAGTCATCGGAGGACACTGGTATGCTTGGTAAGAAGCCTGTTGAACTACCTATTGTTCTTTCTCACAAATTAAGCATTCATGAAGGAGAGTTGTTGGCTGGTCCTCAGTTGTATCGAAGATTAGTTGGGAGACTGCTATATCTAACCCATACGCGACCTGATATTACATATGTCATTCATCTTTTAAGCCAGTTTGTTTCTTCTCCTCGTCAGCCACATTTTGCATTGTCTATCATTTGTTATCCTACATCAAAAAAGCTCCTAGTCTAAGACTTTTCTTTTCAGCCAAAAATACATTACAAGGCAGTGCCTTTGTGGATGCTGATTATAGCTCATGTCTTGACACTCGCCGTTCCACCATTGATTACTGTACATACATTGGTGATTGCCTCATTTCATGGAAGTCTAAAATGCAGCATGCAGTCAGTTGTTCATCATGCGAAACAGAATGTCGAGCAATCGCTTCAGCAACTTGTGAGCCATTATGGATTGCAGCCCTTCTATCATTCTTCTAGATTCTTGTCTCAAATGCTTCTCATTTATGCGATAATCAATCGACCGTACATCTTGCTTCGAATCAGGTTATTCATGAACGCAACAAACACATTGAAATTGATTGTCACTTTATTCGAGACAAGGTTGTTGCTAGTTTTATCAAATTATTTCACGTTCGATCTGCTATTCAGTTAGCAGACGTATTTACTAAAGCTTTATCTTCATCACTTTTTTCACATTTTATGGCCAAGCTGGGTGTCCTCAATATTCATCAGTCCTCATCTTGAGGGAGAGTGTTGTAACTACTATTTCAGTTAGTTTGAGATTACTTTCTTGTATACCGGTAGGTTGTATTCCTAAGTAATGTAATTTTTGTATTTGGTTATAAACCTTAGCAAGGTCAACGATGGTTGGCACAAGTGGTTGGGATTTAAGAATTTGAGTTTGTAAGGACAAGTTTGAATCTCACCACCGTCACTCTAGGTGGATAATTTGTAAAGCCTTATATAAATCTCAATTGGGTCTTAGATATGCATTGGTCATGGACCAAGAAAACTTGGTACTAAACTTTGTGTTTGTAAGGACCTAAACTTTTTTTGTAGTAAAAAATAAATAAACCTGAGTAAGTTTGGTTAATAAAGAGGTTTTCTTTATACTTCTTATCTTTGATAAAACAATATAAGGAAAATATTACCATTTTAACGGTTTATGCATAATTAGGGATGGACATGGGTCGGGTTTCAGCCAACTCGACCCGACCCGAAAATATATACATTCCACCCGACTTGATTTTTTGAGATAAAATTTGAACCGACCCGAAATAATAAAAAATATTATTTTTATTCAATAAAAACAATAATTTAATTGAAAATGATAATATATAGAGGGGTATTATTATAATTATTCCTAAATATATAAGATAAAAATATTTTTTAGATCGGGTCAGGTATTTTTCATCATAAACCCGAATCCAACCCGAGTATCACCTTTTATTATCGATGTGTACTTTATTATCGATGTGTACTTTATAAGATAATATACAGAGTTAAAGTGTACTTTATTATCGATGTGGTGATATACACCATCGTATATTATTTTATAAGATAAAATATAGTCCCCTGATTACAAGATAATGTTTCATTGAGTCTCTTGACTATTAAAAGTTACAAAATAATTCTTCAACTATAGTAAGTTGTTTTGTTGAGTGATTGAGTCCATTGACTATTAAAAATTACAAAATGGTCACTCGACTATAGCAAGTCTAATCATACTATTATTTTATATGGCATTGTATTTAAAGTTAAATATGCTTATAATTTATTATACTATCTTCGTTAGGTATATATCTAATAATTTTTTATTTCTAATAAAATATTTGTTATTTAAATTAGAGATGATCATAAATTAAGTTCGGTTTTCGGCTAACTCGAGAAGTATACATCTTTTACCTGAATAATAATAGTGTATTTTAGATGTAGATTAAATTTTATATAAAAATTAATCGTTAATATTTAGTTTTTTTTTCCAGAATAATAATAGTGTATTTTAGATGTAGATTAAATTTTAAATTACAGAAATTATTTTATCTAACGTAAATAAAAAATAATACATACTCAGTAAGAAAATAATACAAAAACGAAGTAGAAGAGGGGGGAAATGAATCACAAAGATGCAATTATTTGAAGATTCTCGCAAAGAAAAGAATCTCATAAGGCTTATAGGCCCTAGATGGCCAAAAGCATCATCAGCATGAGGCCAAATGGCCCAAATCCCACTGCGAGGCATGCCTTCAAACCGACACCGTTAGACGATGCCGGAGGCGGTGGGGGTGGAGAGCTTCCGGGTGATTCAGCCGATGGAACTTCGGGGGACGACGGAGTGCCAGGAGTCGATCCTGGGGGTGTCCCTGATGACGCCAAGGTATCGATTTCAACCTTCATTCCTTGGTTGCAATGTCCTGGTATTCCACATATGAAGTAACGCTTCCCCGGTGACGACAAAGCTATGACCGTGTTGCCACCAGTGTGAGTACCGATCGAGTTAATCGTCGAGCACGAGTCGTAGTTTGTCTGCGTCACCTCAACCACATCGTGGTTCGAGGTGTACCGGAAGACTGCAAGTTATAAAAACACGTACGTTCCATTCAAAACACTACGATTGCCACTTGAAAGTTTCAAATTCTCATATAATATATAAACTTACCCAGATTATCCCCTACGGCAAAACTCTGGGATCCAGCCCAAGTAGCGAGATCGGTGCTTGTGTCCCAACCACCGTTCGGAGCTCCGACCGTGTGGTCCACCGCCATGGCTAACTGGAAAACAATTTCAGTGGCTGCAAAAAACCCTAATAATGCTCCCTGCACTGCCATTTTCCTGGCCATGGAAGACGATGATCAAAGTACCAAATAAACTAAATTTGGGAAAGACTGATTGGGTTTGAATTGTGTTAAGAGTTGGTTTATATAGAGAGCATGATGATGAAGAACATGGAAAATGGATTTTTCAAATGGAAGAGATGAGGATTAGTTTATTAATTTATCTGCCGGAATCTATTTAATTAGTGTAAAAATTAAATACTTCCTCCTCTTATCTTCTTGCCCTCGACCGGATCCTTTGTTTTCTTAGTGGAGAGAATCTATATATAATGAATTTTAAAATTAAAGATATATTGTATTAGATACATTTGACCTTTTCTTTATCAAAATTTATCATTGAACTACAAGTTATTACGCTTGTAATATTAAATTTTAGTTTTACATGCAATTATATTTTTGTATCATTAATCCATTAACAATTGGTAACATTTTATCGATATGTACTGATACGGAAGTAAAAAAAAACCTATCTCATCATCATTTTCATCAGAATTAAAGATTTATCTTTCATTTTTCAGTCATCACAAAAAATCGTCACTCTGTAACATCTTTTACAACCACCTTAGATACTGATGAACTCTTCTTATCGTCTTCTACCACATTATCGATTTAGATTTTTTTTTTCCAAAACCTCTTTAAAACTCACTAAATTAAATAATAAGTATAGTGGGATGAGACACTAGGTCCCTTAAGTAAGGTCAGAGGTTCGAATCCTGACGTTTGCGAATGTAGCAAACTAGGTTGGGAGGGTCGCCCTCGCTTCTGCAGTACTCGATCTGAATTAGTCGGTCAATAGATCGGATATCAGTGATTAATTAAAAAAAATAATAGGTATAGTGATATTTTTGGGGTTTGAGGGGTTTCTCAAATTTGATAAGTTTAGGGTGTCTGTTCGAAATTTCAAACAGTGAGAATCATTACTTCAAGAATAAGAACATCGCAAAACTAACCACATCGAAAGCCATCGAATGAGATCAGAGTATTAATACGTCAAATCCTTAGATGATTTTTTTGTCAATTTTGAGTGTATTTCGTGAGAAAACAATCAAATGAGAAGAAAGATGCGTGAAATATGAACGTTTTGTTATTGTTCATGCTACGAATAGTGATTTACGATGGGCGACGAGTGACCTCCAACATCGGTTGAAAAGTTCGGTACTTAAAATTGAAACGTTTTAAAGTTCAAAAAAAAATCTATACATAAATTAAAGGGTTTTATATAATCCCAAGAATGACATCGATTTTAGCATCAATATATCTACACCAAAATAATTTTGTTTTGGTCACACCATCACATTGACGGAACATGTCAACGTGTCATTTACTACTTTACGATCCAGTGATATAATTTCATACAAAATTCGATAAAAAAAAGTTTGATGATACCTAATGTAATTTACCCTAAAATTAACCTGAAATAAAAATATTGTGGCTTATTGGCTATTTTGCAAGGGTTGACTTATTGTTTAGAGTAATATAATAATATTCTGCGTGTAGTAATTTTTTATTGGTTGTGCATCTCAAATGAGCCCAAATAGATCATAAATTTTGGGTAAACCATGTGTTTAATACTTAAATTATTATTTTTATTATGTTTCGGTATATAATTTATTTCATATATACCTAACGTTTAATTTAGGTTTCATTTTAGCATATTGTCATTGAAAACTTAATGGTAATTTTAACGTGTAAGGTAATACCATGTCATCATTAAACAAAATATAAAAAACACTATATCAGTAGTTTTGTTATTTTTTTAACGACAGAGTACCAAATTGAAACTTAAACTAAACATTAGGTGTAGTTATGAAAAAAGTAATATTTGAGTACCAAAATAGAACAAAAATAATAGTTTAAATATTAAACATGTAATTTACCCTAAAATTTTTATACTCAACCAAATAAAATTCAGATCACAAATACAAATTATTTGTGAAGACGAGGAGAGGAAATGGTCGTCTAAGTAATTAGATTAAAATATGTGTACGTGTGATGAAAATAATTTAAGTTATTTAATATGTATGAAAGAAGTAATAAGAATAATTAGTTTATTATTTGTAGTCTTTTATTGTGCCAAGTCAAATATATTTAATTAAAATGGTTGGTTGAAATGATTTTTTTATACTATAACGTAGTTGAAATGGTATTTAACTAATTAAAATTGAGACTTTAATGTAGAAATGTTCTTAAAGTGAACAATTTTTTGGCTTATTTGTAAAACACTCAAATTAGCTGACCCTATTCCCATATATAATGGGGTAAGGGGGAAGTAGGGTAGTAGGTTGCCCCCAACATCAGGTTGAGAACAACTTCCGTGACAGACCTCCGTTATGAATTACCCTCAATAGGACTCGATCTCACGACCACAAGGTTAAGAGCCTTGTGCTCTACCAACTGAGCTAGACAGACAATTTTTATTTGTAAAATACTCAATTTTTTTAAAAATAAATTATTTTTTTAAAATTATAAAATGATCCTCCAACATTAACAAATAATAAATTAATGCTTTGCCAATAATTATTTTTAACGGGAGATGAAATTAAAGTTAATAAAATTAATATAATAACATTTTTAGCCCTCAAGTTTTACACTTATTTTAATTTGACTCTAATTCTAAAAACTTGCTTATATAGTTTTAGTATTTTAATTAACTCGGACTCCCACCGCCATTTGTTGCCGCCTACCGCCATCTTCCGATAGCCCTTCAACTTTTAAACTGAATTTTATAAGCATGTCACTTTTTAAAATTAGCTGACCCTTATTCACATATGTAATGGGATAAGGGGGAGGTAAGATAGTAGGCTGCCCCCAACGCCAGGTTGAGAGCAGTTTCCGTGGGAGACCTCCAAATTATGAAATGCCCTCTGTGGGACTCGATCCCACGACCTCAAGGTTAAGAACATTGTGCTCTACCAAATGAGCTGGATGATCATTTCAAAAGAGAATATTTATACGTACCCTGTCATCTTTCATAAAGAATATTGAAATTAAAAAAATTCAAGTAGGTACATTTTTATTAAATTTATGAATATATTTAAAAGTTAATTTAGTTTCTATATATATATATATATACAGAAGAAAGTAGGAATTGTAATGGCAAATGTCTCATTTGAATACTCTTTTATGTTTTGATTGACATTAGCACATAGTACATTGGGATAATGTCATAATGAAGAAACAAAAACGAACATGAACGGTTCTTTCTCTTCCCTGCTAATTCCACAAGTAATATTTAAAAATTATTTTATTTAAATGTATATAAATAATTTTTTTTTATTAATCTGAGATGTCCATAAGGTAGTATTTGATCAAAAAAAATTAATCGATTGATAATGAACATGCACATACTCTACTGACATAAATGTTCGAACTCGAAAGCTCAATTAGTTCAAAACTACAACTTATTTTTTTATTAATATTTAATAAATGAAAATATATATTTTATTGATTTTACTTATAAAATTAAAAATATTTCATCGTCAATATACTAAATAATAATCGTGTATATTGCCGTTTGAAAATTTCTTGTATATATATTGACCGTTGAGGTACATGCAGTATTATTTTATTAGAATAACATGCACGACACTTTCAAAGCAAAAATACATTATATATTAGCGCATTGACCAATAAAATTACATAGGATAAACTACCTATTTGGTCACTCAGCTTTTTCTGTGTTTCTATTTTGGTTATTCGACTATTTTTTAATCGTACTTAACGCTATGCTTTATTTTCGTTTAGGTCACCGTATTTAGGCTTGACCGTCGACTTAACAGAAATTATGATGTGATACGATGTTATATCAATCACATATTTTTCGTCAAACAAAAGACGATTCCGACGACGCCAAAGACACCAAAGGATTGAGCCAAACAGAAGGTCCCAATCGATAGGGATTGTGGGAAAATAATCCTGCTGTGTAATGTTCTTTTCAATCCATCTTTGCAGAGGTAATGTATTAAACTCCACAAGCCGACTTGGTTTGACCACGCTTTGCCAAATAGCCCTTGCAGCAATGTGATCTCTAACAATATGCTAACTGGACTCAATTGTCGCACCACAGATTGAACACCTCGTCTCCATCGTCATGTGCCTTCTCCATCTTTCTTCATTTGAAAGTAATATGTCCTTATAAAGTATCCAAAGCAATAGCTTAATCCTTGGAAATCCCCGATAAGAGGATATCGGATTCCACGGCAAACTCGTGACATTATTTATAGTGTCGCAAAACCGCCTGTTATAAGCACTCTTGACAGTAAATCTTCTGTTCCTATCCCGTTTCCAAAGTGGCACGTCGGCTGCACCACCATTAACAGGAGATTTTACAGCAGCTATGTATGGGATAACCTCACGAGGAAGCAAAATCTCTAATAAACTCCATCTCCACTCCCCATTAGCCACCATCTCTTGAACAGTTGTATGATTGTTAAAACAAAACGTTGGATCGTTGCACCAATCCTTTAGAGGCCCGAGATCATCGATCCATACGTCATTCCAGAACCCCACACTCGAACCATGTTGACGAAAACGGATAAAGAAAACGAAAGAACACGAGAATTTTACGAGGTTCGGCAATGTGCTTACGTCCTCGGTGCCTATGCGGCGCTAGAAGTTTTTATTCAATGATATTTTAGGTCTAGGTTACATCTCTATTTATAATAGAAAACCCTGGTACATAATTACAAAATCAACCCTGTACCGTACCGCGGGGGCTGCGCCCCCACACCCCCAACCCACATAATTCGTAACCCCACAACGAGACTTTTTATGAGCCATACATAACAAATCTCCACCTTGGCGAATATCCTGCCCCTTGGAAACTTCAATGTGGGTTGGGTTACCTTGCTTCTTTAACAACTCGAAACATTCAACAAGTCCAAGCAATGCTTGAACTTGTCTGTCGTAACTGGCTTGGTGAACATATCAGCGGCATTCTCATCAGTATGTACCTTCTGAAACAAAACCTCTCCAGATGCAACCAACTCTCTGATCTTGTGGAACCTTACATCAATATGTTTAGTTCTAGCACGATACACC